GAGAAGGTCCTTTAGATAATCTGGTTTAGTTCTGTTTAAACATTGATGGGTAATGAGAGTAGTCTTGTATTGAATTCTGTAGGTGACAGGAAGCCAGTGGAGGTTATGGAGAATGGGTGTAATGTGATCAGATTTACGAGCTCTCCGTAAAATCCTGGTAGCACAGTTTTTAACATACTGAAGCTTCTGGAGGTTTTTGCCAGGGATTCCAAAAAACAGAGAGTTGCAGTAGTCAAGCCTGGAGGAGACAAAGGCATGGACGAGTTTCTCTGCGTCAGCAAAAGTAAGAGACGGGCAAAGTTTGGAGATATTACGGAGATGATTTTCAAATGTAAGATGAGTGTCCATTCTCACACCAAGGTTAATAACAGAGGTGGAGAGGGGGATGTCTTGACCAGAGAAGGAAATAGCTGTTTTAGTTGAAGTTTGAACCTGGTGAGGGGTGTCTATCAGTATGGCCTCGGTTTTGGAGCAGTTAAATTGAAGAAAGTTCTGACTTATCCATAAGCTCATCTCCTCCAGGCAGGTAGTGAGGGCACTGAGATGATGGAGATGACAGTGGTGATGATGATCCAGTCCTGATGTACAGCTGTGTGTCATCAGCATAACAGTGAAAAGAAATATTGTAATGATTAATGATTTGACCTAAAGGAAGCATGTAAAGGGAAGGGGCCCAAGAACTGACCCTTGAGGGACACCACAGGTGACACAGACAGTCTGGGACTTGGTGTTGTCAAGGCTAACATATGCCATGTTTCCATCAAGGTTTTTAATGCACATTTTGAAGTATCGCATCAGAAAAGGTGAATGGAAACGGCATGATTCGACAAAAACTTCCTCTAATTCGCATAAAAGTTGATACGCTCACTTGAGGTGGTTCTTGTTTTTTTTTTTTCGAAAAAGAGTTAATACGCAAAAGGACAGATGGAAACACATTTGTCAAATCAGTTCTGACGTAGCGAACATTTACCTCACATGTTGATCAGCTGTTCTTGCTGTTTGTCCGAAACCGGTCCCGGTACCAGAGTGACTGCAGCTGGACCTCCCCCCGCTGTCGGCGTATTCTCAGTTATTCCCGTAACGTGAAGAGAACTGCATTTATTTCTCTATGTCTCCAGACAGCAGTAACATTGTCAGAACTACTTGATAAGACAGAATAATTACAATTTTCTGACAGTAGCAACTAGGGCTGTGTATTGGCAAGAATTTGGCGATACGATACATATCATGACAGAGGGGTCACGATACRATATATCCCTATATATTGCGATACTATAAGCAAGGCGATATATTGCGATATATTGCGATTTTTTTGTCCAAAAATTCTATTAAATAAAAACCTCTTACAGGGGAAAAAAATGAAAAACCAAAATTCATTGTCTCAGAAAATTCTAATATTACATAGACATGCTTTTGATACATTTAGCTGTGTTCTGCTTTGTATGTATTTTATTTTATTTGTTTCATATTTCTTATTTCATCCATTTTTTCAATTATTAGACTAAATTTGACAATAAATAGTTTGAAAATATATACATTTTGCAGCTTTTAGTTTTTAATATTAATTTACAATATGGTCAACCAACACTTAACAATGGCCTCTACCTCAAGAGGTAGAGTAGCCAAATGGCTGGCTCACTGCTGCCAACTAGTGGTCAGAGGCTGAACTACAACATAAAAATGAACGGCTGGCAGGAAAGTTGACATTTTAAACCTTAATAAAAATTCGATACAGAGCTTTAGAATATCGATACAGTATCGGGAAATGAAATATTACGATATTTCAGTGTATCGATATTTTCTTACACTCCTAGTAGCAACACATTCCTGATAACTTCTCTCCATTTTCCTGAGATGCGACTTTTACTTCCTGTTTACTACACAYATGCGTTTGACGTAACTGATTCACTTCAAGCCAGTTGATGGAAACATGTCTGATTCGCATTTATTCGTTTTTTCCTTTTTGCAAAATTTTTTAAAAATTGCTCAAAATTCGAATTAGAGTTGGACGGAAACACGGCTATTTTCCAGCCTATTGGAGAGGAACGATTTAAACCGGTCCAGAACAGTGTCACAGAGACCGACCTCCACTTGAAGACGGTGGAGGAGGATGCTGTGATCCACAGTGTTGAAAGCTGCAGTGAGGTCCAGAAGGAGAAGAAGGGAGGGAGAACCAGTGTCAGCAGCCATGAGGACATTGTTGGTAACTCTCAGAGATGCGGTCTCAGTACTGTGAGCCGCACGAAAGTCAGACTGGAATTTCTCATACAGTGAGTGCTGTTGTAGGTGAGCCTGCAGCTGGGCAGTGACTGCTTTTTCCAAAACCTTTGATAGAAACGGGTGGTGAGAAATAGGACGATAACTGGAAAGATTATCTGGATCCAAACYGGATTTTTTCAGAAGAGGCCTGATGATGGCAGTTTTAAGAGGCGGTGGTACATGACCAGATTGTAGAGACTTGTTCATTATTTGTGTGATTAGTGGGCATATTGCAGAGTGATTAGGTTTTATGAGAGCTGAGGGGAAAGGGATCCAGGGCACAGGTAGATGGCTTCATTTTCTTGACGATGGTCTCCACTTTACTCTGAAAGTCCTCATCAAAGCGGCTCAGGGATCCAGAATGCAGACAGGCAGATGGGAAGTTAACGTCAGGGAGGCTGAGAGCTGAGATCTGAGTTGACTTTGTTTTTGAAAAATGAAAGGAACAAGTAGCAGTTTTGAACAGAGTCCTCAGCATGAGTTTGTTTAATGGGATGAAGGAGATGATTTATTGTGGAGAAGAGCTGTGTGGAGTTTCCAGGGCAGTTGTTAATGACGTTAAGTAGTATTTGGACCGTGCTTCTTTTAGAGAGAAGGCGTAGGCTTTTTGATCATCTTTATATGCCTGCTTATGTACAAAGAGACCAGATGATTTTGCACGTCTCTCAATAGCACGGCCAGCTGCTTTCATCTTACGCAACTCACCAGAGTACCAGGGAGCTGAAAGGGAGAAAGACGCCATCGTTGATTCAAGGGGAGCGTGGAGGTCCAGAAGCTCATGGAGAGATTGGTTATAGTAATCCACAGAGTCTTTGCAGATGAATGCACAGGAAAAAAGTCCAACAAAAGATGACAACTGGAATAATCCAGACGACACGGAGGTTGACAGAGGCAACAAGGTAGCGCCACAACGATAGCAGCTAGATTAAGCTGTCCATATAAGTACTGGTTGACAAACCATTGAGCAAAGTAATTGTCTTTCTCCTGCACCATCAATTTCAATGTCTTCGCCTCCTCCATCAGGCCGATCAGCTTGTCCTGCTGTGAAGCTAGTTTAGTGAGCTCGGCTGACATATAGTTTGAGGATTTTTTAATCTCCTCCATGTTCTGCACGACTGCAGGTTCTTTTTCTCTACCAGATCCCCGTCATCCAGGCCTGATCTCGTCAGCTGCCTCCAGCCACAGCCTTCAACCACCACCAGTCCCCGCCAGAACGCCAGAGCCGGTCGTCCCCAGCTACTCTCCAGCCTTCGGCCTCGGTCACTCAATTCATTGAATGTCTCCCATGTTTGGTTGGCTCCTTCCAAAGTCTGCTTTAGCGGTTAGCTTTTATTGGAACTAGCATTTGGCATTCTTAGCCACAATCACACAAAATTTCAGCTCAACTTTTCCCAAAAAAGCTAATTTAGAGTCATTTGAAACTAGCTGCAGTGGCCATCATGAATTTTCAAATCAATTGACATCACGAAAATGTGGGCGGGGCTTAACTGAGTTTGTTYACTTTGTTTATTGGAGAATGTGGCGTCTGTGTTTCTGCTTCCTGACTGTGATTTATRGAACGTTACTGAACTCAAATGCAGATGTCAGGATGGCTGAGTGGTCTAAGATGCCAGACTCAAGGAACTTCCTTCCCTCGTTGTGTGTGGGACTTCTGGTCTCTGACTGGAGGCGTGGGTTCAAATCCCACTCCTGACAAAACTTTGATCAGCGCTGACTTTATAAGCTCATGACTTGACTCTACTACATGCTGGAGGTTGCAGCTTCCAAGCCGCCGAATTTCAGCTCATTATGTCTAAAAATAACTGAATCAGAGCCATTTGAATTGGGGCCTTAGTGGCCATCTTGGACTCTTTTATTTAATTTCAGCATTTGTTGAGCAATGCTCTCCACTACCACCACACAAAATTTCAGCTTAATATCTTTGAAATATTATTGTCAGTTACTATTGTACAGGTTATTAACTTTGTGTGTCAGAAATTGGCTGAAATACAGTAAATTTGTTTCTCAAATTAGCATTAGCCCTCAGCTTAAAATTTAAATAAGCTTTCACAGTGTCAGTGGGATTGCTCTTGACTCACGCCAAATTTCAGCTAAATGTTTCTAAAAACGGCTAATTTGTAGCTATTTAAAATTAGCTTTGGTGGCCATATTGGATTTTGTTAAAGATTGTTACTTGGCTACAGCTACACTAATTTTCAGCTTTGTTTGTAAAAATGTCATTGCAGTTAGCTTAGCAATTGGTATTTTTAGTTACAATCACACAAAATTTCTGCTCAATATTTCTTTAAAAAAAGCTGATTTAGAGCCATTTGAAACTAGCTGTGGTGGCCATTTTGAATTTTCAAATTGCGACCTGTCCAGGGTGTACCCYGCCCCTCGCACTGTGACTGCTGGACATGGGTACCAGTGACCCACGCGACCCTGAAAAGGAAGAAGCGTGTACAGAAAATGGATGGATGGATTTGTATGCCCTTAAAAACCACCTTAGCCACCCCTTATAAAAAGTCTAGCTCCGCCCCTGCTGCCAACAAAAAAATTGTGTTGACCCCTAGAAGAGAGCAGCCAAAAGAAGAACATGAGTTGTGTTTTAAGCTGTTTTGTTTTGGGGTAAACTTGTCTGATGTAGGAAACCTCAGAGGTTCTGAAGAACCTCCATCTGATCATTGTTGAGACATTCCTTCAGTTGGATTTTGATAAATAAAAGCAGATTTATCTGAGACAAACTCGGGAAAGGACTTTACCTCCGTCAGCTTGCTCCAGTTGAAGGACTTCAGCGGGTTGGAGGGTTGAGGAATGTTCTTCTTCTTCTCTGTTAGTCCTAAAGGGGCTCCTGGAGGTGGAGGGGGAGGAGGGGCTAACGGAGCCATGCCAAAGGCTACGGGGCCTCCTGGAGGAGGTGGTGGTGGAGGAGGATGAGGGGTGGAGCTGGATGAGGAAGAAGCTGCAGGACCTTGACCAGCAGAGCTCACCGGAGGTCCTCCAGGAACACCGGAGGTCTACCGGGAGGAGAACAGACTCCTCAGGTGCTTCAGTTCGAGGTGCAGGTGGATAAAAAGAGGCAGAACTTACGGAGCCCAGCTGCTGCAGACGGGAGGACAGGTCCTCCAGCTGACGCTTGGCCTGCTTGTGCTCGTTGCTCTCTCGCTCCAGCTTGTCCTTCATCTTCTGCAGCGTCTCCATCATCTCCTCCTTCTCTTTGTTCTTGGCCTCGCACTCCCGCTCTTTCTTCTCCAGGCGCTGCTGCAGGTTCTGTTGCTCTGAGAAGACGTGACGATAAAAACCTGAACCTTCAGGGTGTTTGGATCCTGAACCCATCAATGAGGACAATATTTTTAATTCATAAAACATTCAGCTCATTTATGACAGCGGTGCTACGACTTTTGGTATTTCAGCTATTTAGACTTTTTCAGCTTTTTCACTTTTTCACCCTTTTTTTTGCCATTAAAAATGAATGGAGCTGTTTCACCTCCTTAAAATCCTTCAAAATGTTTATAAATCTTCACTGCTCCTTACATCTTTTTGTTTTCCTGCTTCCTTTAACTTCCTTGTGCTAATTTTAGCTCAATTTTAATTTGTAGATTTTTAATTTTTTGACAATTTTAGCTTTTTCCCCACTTATATTTATATAATTCTGCTTTTTTTCCCAATTTTTTGTGCTTCTTTCTGCTAATTTGAGCTATTTATGCTTCTTACAATTGCTTTCTGCTATATTTGCCTATTTGCTGCAATTTTAGCTAATCTACAGTTGTTGTTAGCTTTTTATGCCAAATTTACACGCTATTTCAGCTGTGTTCTGCTTAGTTCAGCAAACTTGTTATGCTTCCTTACACTAAATTAATAATTTCCAGCTACATTTTAGCTGTTTTGGATATTTTACAACAAATTTTCATGTTTTTTACTTTAATACTGTTTTTTATTTTTATTTATTTATTTATTTATTTATTTATTTATTTACATTTTTACACCCCTTCCACCATCTGGGTGCTAATTTAAACTTGTGTCTTCTATCTTTAGCTTGGTTTTATGCTAATTTAGGCTTTTCTCTGCTATTTCAGCTATTATTCTGCTCCTTTCTGCTATCCTGCTAATTTCTACCTTTTCTGCTAATTTGAGCGTTCAGGTGCTTTCTGCGTTTCGGCTACTGTTTAGCTATTTGTTGCTAAATTTAGCTTTTTCAAGCTAATTGTACATTTATACATTTTTTCTGCAAACTTTAGCAAATGTGCTCCTTCTGCATCTTCATGCTAATTTCACCACCTTCAGCTACATTTTAGTCATTTTGATGTACATTTTTTGGCTGTTTTAGCTTTTTCACAACAAATTGTCACTGTTTGGATTTTTTTCCTTGTTTTCTAATTTGACATTTTTTACACCGTTTTCACCATATGGCTGCTAATTTCAACTTGTGTCTGATAAATTTAGCTTGTTTTACACTTACTTTAGCTTGTTTCTGCTATTTCAGCTATGATTCTGCTCCTTTCTGCCATTCTTCTGGTACGGTCTGCTTTTTTGGGTTAATTTGAGCTTTTTACACTTCTTCCAGTTGAATTCAGCTAACGTCAGTGCTTTCTGCGTTTCGGCTACTTTTCAAATGTTTAGCTGCTTGTTGCTAAATTTATCTTTTCAAGCTAATTTTACATTTTTACAGCAATTTATCACTTTTTTGTACATTTTTTCCTTGTTTTCTAATTTAATAAGAAAGAATTTCTAGTGTGCACGACTCAAATTTCCTTACAAAAAGGGGAAAAGATTAACTAGGTAAATGGGTTCTAAAGAATCATAAAAATGGGATAACAAGCACTCCAAAAAGTACCATGTTTTTAATAAGGGCAGGAAACGGGACACATTTCGGCTACATGCCGTCGACACGACAGGAAATGCAGTTTTTSTAGTTTACCTTTTCTCAGCTTGGCAGCTTCATCTTTCCACTGTTTCACCTCGTTTTCATCAACCAGCCTACAGAAAGGTAGGTTATTTTCCTCTCATCATGTTTTTAATCCTTTTTAATGCTTTTTCGTTATTATTTATAACTCTAAACTGAAAGTTCAGACTCACAAGCTCTGAAGATTTTTAACGTTGAAGTCACCCAGAGGAGCAACGTCKGGGTTGTCACCTCTGGGCGTCTGCAGAACCAGCTGCTGAACAATCTTGTCCAACAGCGTCCAGTACTGCAGCGTGCTCCTGCTCTGCTTATCTGAAATAATTTATAAAAACATCTGCGAAGGTGCTGTTTGGAAGAAGAAAAGGTGACGGAGYCGTGTCTTACAGGGCATGAGGAGGCAGTGCTGCAGCACAGACAGCAGGTGAGGGTACGACTCCGAGTGGCTCAGTTTCTTCCTCAGCAGCTCGAACATCTGGTTGGCACTTTTAGTGTCGACGTGGACCTGAAGCAGAACGTGTCGGATCATCACTGCCTGAAACACCTGCTTTATGTTGTTTAAATCTACAGTTTCTTACAGAGTCAAAGCAACTGGACAGCTGGTATTCATCATCACTGCGGAGCGTCTCAAAGAAGTCCAGATGCCTGAAAGAAGCTGAAGTTAGACGACGATTGTAAAAAGAGTTAAATGGAAACACCTGGCACACCTGTCCAGGGTGGAGTTTTCATGCTGGCGCAGTTTATCAATGATGGGTTGAATGCCCAACATTAAAAACTCGTAACGTAAATGGATCCGGAATTCCAGACTTTTCTGAAAGCAGAATCACAAAAAACACAGAAAATCAAATTGAAAAATTAGATTCTTCAATCTATTTTAATTGTACTGTGATGTTAAATGTTTTAAGGAGCTCTAAAAGTTAATGAATGATAAATAAAGCGATCACCTCTCCTGCTCCCTGGCTGAGTAAAGCGTTGATGAAGGACATGATGGCTGTTTTCAAACTGACTTCATCTCTGTAGCGGCCGGTGGATCGGTCCAAATCTGTCACCAGGTTCTGAACACAGAACACAAAAGGTTTGAAGTCATGTTCAGGGATCATTAAAAACCAAACTTTTACTCTGAAAATTAGGCACATCCTGTCAGCTGATGTCACCTGTGCTTTACAACATCAGGTAGCAGTAAAGTTAGATTTAATGTTCTCTGTGTAAACTGAAGCTGTACTTCTGAAACTTTACTGAGACGTTGTTCAAATGATTTTAAGATGCTGATTAAATAATCCTGAAACATTTTGAAAAGTACCTGAAATATTACTGACAAAATACCCCAAATTATTCCTGAAAAGTACCTGAAATATTACCACAGGTTACTCTTGTAAGAATTACTGATTTTTAATTTTGCTAAAATACCAAAACAAAAATAGCTAAAGTATTATTCTGAAAAGTAATTCAAACCTTCCTGAAAAGTAGCTGAAATGTTGCTGAAATGTTCTTGAAATACTTAAAAAATGTTCCTGAGACATTGTTGAAAAATTTATAAAGTAATCATCAAATAATGTTCAATCATGCAGTAAAGCAGCTGAAATGTTGCTGAAATATTTTTAAAATGTTCCTGAAGTGTAGGTAAGGTTTTGTGAAAATGATGCTAAAATGTACTTGAAATGTTCATGAACAGTAAAATATTGCTGATCTGTTCCTGACCAATARCTAAAATTTTGCTGAAATGTTCATGACCAGTAGCTCAATTATTGCTGATATATTCATGACCACGTGACCAGTAGCTAAAATATTTCTCARATGTTCCTGACCAGTAAATAAAATATTACTGAATGTCCATGAACTGTAGTTAAAATATTGCTGAAATATTTATGATCAGTAACTAAAACATTGCTGAAATGTTCCTGACATGTTAAAGTGCTTTTGAACTTTTCTGTAAAAGAACCTAAAACTTTGTGGAAATGTTTCTGATATTCTGTTGAACTACTGCTAAAAGGTTCCTGAAGTTTCCTTGAAAATTTTCAGGGTTTAACCATTTCTGTGTGTTTTTATCTGTTTCATTCCACTCCCTGACACACCTGTTTCCTGTTTCCATTCAGCACACCTGATTTGTTTCTCGTTCTGTCTGTCAGGAGGTTTTTCAGTCCAGATTCTCTGATCCCCTGTGGTTTAGTTTAGTGAAACTCCGGCTGCTTTTTAACTTTTGTTTTAGCTGCCTGCACCTGTTCTCCATCTGTTTTTTCCTCGTCAGGTTGGCTTGACTTTAGATTGTTTAAATTCTGAGGTTAAATTCCTTCCTGATGAGCTCAAACCTGAACTTCAGCTGAAGGAACTGCGCTTTGCTGCTGCTGCGTATTATAAATTCATTCACAGCTCAGGGAAGCTGGACGGACCTGGAACCGAGTTCTCTCTGAGGCGAACGTYTGGTAGTGCAGCATCGCCTCCAGAACCTTCTTATGGCCTCCTGGAACCAAACAGACGGCTCCGAGGATCTCACAGACCGCCACCTGAGGACAGAGGGAGATTTTTATTAAAAACAACAGCAAGTAAATAATCAAATGCTCAGGACCACCAATGAGAAGGTCCAGTTTGACTTCAGAAAATATATATTTTTCAGAGATCGTTTAGTCTGAAGGTTGATTTAAAAACAGGCTGTTATCAAGAGAATAAACTAAAACTAAAACAATTCAAGTTAAATCAAACATTCTTTAAATTCCACACGGATCCATTTCTCCAGGACTGAAAGGTTCTGATTCCACAGATTTTAAAACAAGTCGCTGCTTTTATTTTTTTTAAATTAATTACATTTGTTAAAAATGTTTTCTATTGTTTTTTTGAATAAACTGAGTCAAAATTGTTCTGATTAATTTTATAAAATAAAAAATAACAGATTTGTTTACAATAAACTGAGTTTTCCCTACAAATTCGACACAAAACCTTCCAGGAATGTGTTTTTGGCTCACCGACCAGAAAATCGTGAGTGTTTGGTTGTTTGTGGGCGGAGTCAGTCCTGTGACAGGTAGAGCAGGAAGTTCTTCACCTGAAGACACCTGTGCAGGTACTTCCTGCTCTGACGCTGCTTCCATTCATCCTAACAAGCTTCTGAAACCACTGAGAGCTACGTAGCTGAAACCAAAAAACTAACCAATGCAAAATGCTAATAGATAGAAATAGCAAAACATTAGCTATAATTAGCAATTACTAGCTTACATAACACAGGGCTAGCTAAAAGTAGCAGAATGATAGCTAGAAACTAAAAACAGTACAAGCCAAACATAACAAAAAAGTAGCTAAAAGCTAAAGATAGCAAAATTTAGCTTAATCTATTAAAATGCTAGCTAAAATAGCAAACAGTTAGCTACAAATTAAAAACAGTAAGGGTTACAAAAAGTAGCAGAAGGCAAAACAAAAGTTAAAAATGCAGGTAGCTAAAAGTAGCAAAACACAGCCTAAAACCAGAAAAGCGTAACTGAAATGATCAGAAGGTTGTCAAAAGGTTTAAAATAACAAATCTAGATTAAAAACTGAACATAACAAAAAGCTAACTAAAATCTCAAGTGAATGACAGCTAAAAGTAACTAAGGTTAAAAGTAGCAGAGGCAAGCTAAATGCTAAAAATAGCAAAGCGCTAACTAAATGTATCAAAAGGCTAGCAAAAGACTTAAAGTAACAAATCTAGTATAAAACAAATATTACAAAATGCTAGCTTAACTCTCAAATTGTTGAATGATAGCTGTAAATAGCTGAAGCTAGCTGAGAGTTAGCAGTAGCATTGATAGTTTGCTAACATAGATTTTCATGTATTTGARGGGATTTGAAGAGATCTTAATGAAACTCTAGGAGTAAAATATTTATAAATAAATAAAGTCATATATTTTAAAAAAGAAACAAAACTTAAAGCAACCATCTGCTGAATGAGCTGAATGTTTTGGTTTATGAACAGCTAAAGTAGCATAAATTGTGCTTCTCAATAAACTTGTAGTAAACGTTTGAGGAGCAGCTCGGACACTCGGGTTAAGGACCAGTTTTAGTTCGTTTGGGTCGAAAGGTTTCGGCTCTTCACCTTGGTTTTGATGTTTTCGGCTGCGAGACTCTGTGCGATGATGTTGATGCTCTCGGGGTGCCCCAGGACGTGAGCTCTGCCCTGAGAGCTGTTCATCAGGGCCTTGAGGCAGCCGATCAGAGACGTGTGGACCCGAGACTCGGACGTCTCGTAGTCCATGGACTTCAGGAAGTTCAGGATGCAGGAGAGGCCGTCCATTTCGATGAACCGGGTCACGAAGCTGCAGGAGAGAAGAGGCGGCAGGCAGGTGAGCGATCTGAGGTTCAGGTGAGCCATCGCCTGCTGGACTGAGGACACGCACCTGATTGGCTGAGTCCGGAGTGCTGTTTTCAGACCATCTACAACCTTCTGGTTTTCTTCTTCTAATGGCTCCAGATTCTTCCTCTGAGGAGATCAAAGTTGGTCCCAAACAGAAACAGAAWAACACCTTTCATTGTTTTTATTTGATTCATTAAAAATTTTTTTGACTCACAGCAGCCATGAAGTTGATCTTATCAATGTAAAACTGAGGCATCGTGATTCTGTCGTTGTCATCTGGTCCCTGAAACACAAACAAAGAAACTTAAAGTGTATCTTACAACCCCTGTGAAAAGATAACTCCGCCCCAAGGTGAAATTTGAAAAATGCATCAAAGTGGGGAGGGGAGGGGTGTGTGGGTAGGGGAGGGGAGGTTAGAGAGCGGAGGTGTGGCCAGTACGAGAGAACAGCTAGCATTAGCATAATTGATGCTACATGGAGAGTGACCACAGTATCGCAGATAGTCACATCTCTAAACGTCTGAGGTGGAGGATTTTCACCCCACACCAGCCTCGGACAGAGGAGGAGGAGTGCTCAGACAGCCTGACAGAAAAAAATAAAAGCAGAGAAATTAGAGAAATTATATTTTAAATTGGAGCTAAATCCTAATTATCAAAGCTAAAATTTATCAAAAGGCTAAACGGTAAAATTAACAAAATGCTAAATCTAAATGTATCAAAAGGCTAGTTTAGAGCTAACTGTGGAAAAGGCTGGTTAAAAGTGGCAAAAGGCTAAAGCTAAAGTAGCAAAAAGTTAGTTGAAATGATTACAAGACCATCTCGAGCATAACAACTGCAAAAGACTAGCTAAAAGAGACAAAATGCTAAAGCTAAAGTAGCAATAAGATAGGTGAAACGATTACAAGACTATCTTGAGCATAACAACAGCAAAAGACTAGCTAAAATAGACAAAAGGCTAAAGCTAAAGTAGCAAAAAGTTACTTGAAATTATTACAAGACTATCTAGAGCATAACAACAGCAAAATACTAGCTAAAAGAGACAAAAGGCCAAAGCCAAAGTAGCAAAAAGATAGATGAAATGATTACAAGACTATCTAGAGCATAACAACAGCAAAATACTAGCTAAAAGAGACAAAAGGCTAAAGCTAAAGTAGCAAAAAAGTTAGTTGAAATGATTATGAGACTACCTAGAGGGTAACAATAGCAAAATACTGGCTAAAAGTGACAAAAGGCTAAAGCTAAATTAGCAAAAAGATAGATGAAATGATTACAAAACTATCTAGAGCATAACAACAGTATAGACTAGCTAAAAGAGACAAAAGGCTAAAGCTAAAGCAGCAAAAAAGTTAGTAGAAAAATTGTTACAAGATTATCCAGAGGGTAAATACTGGCTAAAAGTTAAAAGTAAGAAAACAATAGTGAAAAGTAGCATCAGAAGACAAGAACAGGAGATAAATCTTCCATTGTGGTGGGTTAGTTGTGCAGTACAGTTCTTTTATTTTATGGGGATTTTTTTAAAGTAAAACTTCAGACAGTTAATGCTAAATATCCGTCGTTACGCCGATGATACTCKGGTGTATTTATCTGTAGCTTTATGAACCCAGTCATTCAGTCCTTCCATTAAACATTTGTATCTTAAAGACATAAAACCCTGGATGTTCTGGTTTTTGGACCTTATTTTTTGACTCAAATAGGTTCTTTAACTTTCACATCTGCAAACTCAACAAAATCACTAAAACTTTCTTGTCCCAGAGCGATGCAGAAAAACTGGTCGGTGTGTTGACCTTTTCTAGGCTAGACTAATTAAAATTCTTTCTGATCCAAACGAAAAGTGAAAATGTTGATGTGTTTATTAAGAACGACACATTTAAAGTGATGAAGAGTTGTTGTTGCTCCGTTCATCAGGGCTCGCTGCACCACATGAAAGAGCTGATGACCACTGAGCTACTGGTGCTTGTTGTCTGTTAGAGTGAAGAGTCACCTGTTTCCTGTACAACAGGTGTGTTAGTGTTAATAACAGGTGTCTCACCATCTTCTTACTGCAGTAAATCTGCCACTTCTTCTCYGCTGGGAGAGCAAACATGTCCGCTCTGTGCTGCTCTGACAGCTCCAGCTCATCCTGAAACACAAACAGGAGGAGGAGTTTCTGACAGTTCCAG